GTTGATGATTGAATACGAGCAACCAGCTCATGGTAGCATGACCCGCACCAATCCAGCGACACAGCACCCTATTTGACCGGCGGGCCATGCGTCTATGTGCCGTTAGAGCACCATAAGACTGCCATACCGGAGAAAATCTACGGAACAACTGGAAAAAACGTGATTTTGCTACACCGCACTGCCTCCGGCCAAGGTTAACCCGGCCGTTTTGAACGAAAACACTAAAATGCATGTTTTGGGCTTCCGCATGATCAAAAACGCATCCGGATTTTTTCAAAAGCCGCCTGTGTCCCATACACGCATCGCTATGCCAAATATTATGCGCACAAATAAAAAGGCGCAGTGTGGGGGGCGCTGTACACCTGCTGCCACCCTCAGGTAATGGAAAACGTCGAGTTTTTGAAAGTGTTACCGGCGGTAAATCTGAGTTGGTTTCTCTCCAAGTGACCGTGGGCTGGATTGGTTGCTTGAACGCTTGCGCATCCGTCCATAGAGCACGGCAAAGTTAAGATTTCACCAAATGTTCACGTACCGGCCTCAAAAAGCGACATTGCAACTTTGTGCATCGGGCCAAAATTCCCACCCAAAAACATCTCAGACAAATAACAAGCACCTAGCATGCGAAAACCTGTCACAAACGCACTCGCCAGACGACACAGCACCCTATTTGACCGGTGGGCCACGCGTCTATGTGCCGTAAGAGCACCATAAGACTGCCAAACCGGAGAAAATCTACGCGACAACTGGAAAAAACGTGATTTTGCTACACCGCACTGTCTCCGGCCAAGGTTAACCCGGCCGTTTTGAACGAAAACACGAAAATACATATTTTGGGCTTCCACATGACCAAAAACGCATCCGGATTTTTTCAATAGCCGGATGTGACCCATGCACAAGATAAAAAACATGCGGCATCGCCGTTTTTCATGTGCGTTACCATAAATCGTGTTTTTCGTTTTTTGCTGCGGGTACGATCAGGACCGAAATGTCGAGCCGTCGCCACAGCCACCGAAAACAGCGTTCCAGGCTCAAATTTGATCGTTTTTTTTTTTTTTTTTTGGCAAGCCAGCTACAGCCCATACGCACATAATCATGCAAAAAATTCCAGAAAAAGCAGAAAATACGAGGTTTCACGGACGACGGATGCCTGTTACTGCCTACAGCTATTCCGAACAGACGCCCGCAAAATTAGTTCTTTCTCCGGCATATCCGATTTTTTCCGCGTTCGGTGACTACACACACGATGTCTTACACACGATGTCTCAATACCGCAGTTGTGTCGACACTGAGTATGATGACAGCAGTGGTACGAGTTTCGTTGCATTTTGTTCGATACATCATCTGCAATTGTCGGATGGCAATATTAATGATAATTGCGTTGCGTCCAATTTACCTATGCTTGCACCAAAAAATATATGCCTTGTCATCTGTGTCGGCATTGACTCAACCACCCTGTTTTCCCTTGTCGTGCCTCTTGCGCCTGCCCTCTTGCCGCAGCCTCGACAACCACAATTTTGTGGCGGTGGTCAAGGAAGCATATTTTGCCTTTGAAGCCCTAACAGAGCATGAGCATGACTTCGTGAGCTACCAGCACGGTTTCAACCCAGAGATCCTCTGTGCGGACGGCACGGCGAAACTATGTGCAGACGGCGTTTCCATGGCGCAGTTCGAGGTTGCACGGATGGACAGGTTCGTGGACACAGACCTCCACCATGAGCTATTGAAGTTCTCGATGATATCCAAGATGGTGTTCAGGAAGCGTCTCTGCTGGGTTTCGGAGGCGGCCCCTATCATTGGGCGCAACCGCACTTCAAACCTGATGCATCGGACGGCACGAGGAAAGTTAGCGCCTGTTGGATCTCCCGAGAGCGGGGACCCGAGGGCGCTTCTGCTCGCACTTGGCGACTGCGCCATCACCGACCTCTCCAACAAGACCGTGGATGACCTCAAAAACATCTACAGGCTCTGCTACCCCGATGGGAAGGGCATCAGCAGGTGGGTTCCGGCGTAGCCGAGGAGCTTCCCCGTAAGAAGAATGAGACACTTGTTGATCTTGGTGGGGATTCAAGCTTACCTACGAATGCTTGTTTGGGGTTCACATGTACATCACCTTCCCCCTTGAGACTCCCCCCTATGCCTATGCTCGGCGCTCAAAACTGTTTTGCTGTTGGCCAGATATCCAACCAAGGAGCTTCTAGTCCAGTGCCTTTCAAAGCTCTGGGAATCCATGGGAGAACAGGGTGAAGGGGAACGATGCTCGAAGCTGTTCGTCGGCAAACCCTCGGGGACAACGGCAGGAGTAGAGGGCTTTTTTACCACTGACGGAGTCTTCGTGTACGGCACCTTCCAGGTCACGCCGGAGAGCGCCGCGGATGTGGTGGATATCCTGGCGCACATCCTGGTAAGAAAGTTTCCCTCCTGCAAGAAGACCACGAATACCATGAACATATGCTCTGAATATTGGCATGCCGTGTCCAAGATGCAACAGTCCGACGTGTACCGACACGGAATAATAGAGTTCACACGTTTGGTCGCCCCATTTCCTACTTTAACCCAGGCCTTTGTTTCAATCTTTTTTCGGGGATAAGTATTTGTGTGCAGATGGATCCCTTGTTTTCCGACTGCTCGGTTCGAAATATTGCGTTGTTACCGACAGTTACCGACAGTTTCGAACTGTTTCCGTGTCACTCTTGATCCACCAGCGCACCAAACCGCGGGTTCCTGGTAGCGTCGGGTAGATAATAGGTGTGATTGCACGAAGACTTGTGTGTGTTGTCACCAGGTCCTTTGCATACATCTCAAGTTGCAGCGTTGATGGGATTGTAGACGGGCGATCGCATGTCGTAGTTGGGGTGTTTTAGACCCGACCACCCGTCAGTCGGCCATGTCTCAATGGTTTGAGGGAGGCTATGTCGACGATGAATATATCCGCAGGCTATCGTTTGTGACACTTCCCCGCCCATGCATCCTGTTCCCTGATGTTTTTCGTTGCTGCCAAGGTGCAACCTTGCCTTGTGATAACGGATATACCATGCAAGATCGTACCGATTGCGGAACGACTTTTTCCCGGTCTACTGCAAGACGGCGGCGTCCTGCCACGGGATGCCGAAGGCCAGGTTTGCTTAAAAGAACTGCAACACATTGGCGCCCACGCGTACGAGTTTCCCGACGAGCACGAGGTCAAGGTGCCTCCGATGGGATTCCCAACCGCGGCTTTTACCTTGGGGGCCAGCCCCGTCCAGCCCGAGCAGCCAGACCAGCCAGACACCGTGTACGCCGCATATGCCGCCGCAGAGACTGCACCCGGCGTTCAACCGCACGTCGACTTCCGCAGTCTCCTTCGACGTGCGGCCGATGCTCAGGACCGTGCGAGAACGGTTGCGGATCCGTCATCCTCGCTTATGCGCATCAGCGATCTTGCAGAGAGTACCCTCAACGGTCTACACAAGCGAGGGTGGTACGCCATGACCCTCTACGAAGTGGTACTGCTGTATTATCTCTGGTTTCAGGCAACTGGGTGGGCCACTCCGGAGGGCGAGGCCCCCGGGGCGGTAGCGGGGGCGGAAGGAGAGGGGGGTAGGGGGGGAGACAACACTCCACCACTTCGGGAGATCTCGGAGTTGTCGCGATCCGAGCTTGCCACGATTACTTCGTACCTCAAGGGGGTTCTGAGGGTGGCGGTGGGGTTGGCTGAAGCGACTGAAGCCACAAGCCTCTCACTGGGGTTGCCTGAGTTCCTGACGGACGATGTGCTGTACATTGAAGTGGCCGAGGGAGGGGCTGAAGATGATACGGGCGAAGAGGCTGACGACACTGGTCCTACCCCGGTCTTAAGAGACTTGGAGGGCATCGTCGAGCTTTATCACGAGGTGAGACATTGTTCCCCAGCGGAAGGTTGGGATCCATGATTGGTGATGTTCGTTTTGTCTCATGCTTCGCAAACTTCGATTAGGAAGGGCGATGGTGTGAAAAGATGAATATCGACTGAATGGGATAGTCTTGTGACGGGATAGTCTTGTTCGACACTGACACCAGGATTCTTCCATCTCGTCGACACTGACACTGTTTTCGCACTTGTTCGACTTATGTACATTGCCCGCTGCCTTACTTTTCCAGAGGAAGGCCCGGTACATCACCCGCCTCCTGGGCGCCGAACCCGACGGCGACGCATCCGAGCGCGCATGTGAGAGTTATATTGTTGACACATTTTACGCTGTCCGCGCGTGCATTCAGGGGTCGTGAAATAATGCAATGTGCTACGTAGCAGAGCCACGTCTTATTTTACAGTGTGTCTTGGTCGCCCTGTTTTGCCACACACGGGCCCCACCGCTAGGAAAGTCTCTCTGTGTACGAACCACTACAGCACATGCTGACCAAACCCTTTTTGATCCCCGTGCATTTTTCCCTGTAATTTTCCCTATGGAAAATACTACTCCGAGTAGACCGTTTAATCCGATCAGGGGTCGGTTTTGGCGTGGCCGAACACTCGGTAAAAGCTCTGCAGATCGCGCTTTCGAGCGACTGTGTGGGCGGGGGGGTAGGCGAGGATGGAAAGCTACCAGGCTACAGCATCGACTTCAACTTCAAGCGGACCCCGTCGTATGACAACTACGGCCACTTTTATGGTGGCAAAAGAGTAGGGCTTTGGCTAGGACCGGACGGGCCGCATGAGGGCAACCACCAGGGCTCCTGCCAAGCCAAGTTTGGAGGCCTTACACGGTGCCGCCAGATCACCGGCACCAACTGCAACCCTCACGAACAAAACCACTCGAAGAAGATCAAGTTTCTACCCAGTGTCACCGGCATGGGCTTCGACACATTCACGTTCAACGTCACCTTGATCAACGAGTTGGAAAACGTAAAAATCAACCGCAAGACTTGTACTTTGGCCGTCTCAAGTGCAAGTGGTCACCCCCGCCACCGACTGCCGGCCTGCCGTAAAGAAGTGTGGTCTTGTGGGCGCTGCTTCTGCAGCAAGCCTCTTATGAGGTCGTTCGACAAGCTCGGTAAATTGTGTATTAGTTACATGTAATTGGGGTCAGTGTTGGTAGGCGGCAGTATTTCACGGGGTCGCCGTTGCCAACGGATGCATATCGATAGTATCGTCGCGTTGAGTTGTGAATCACTTGGGTGGTGGCTCTTACGCCTGCTGCGAACAGGGGAATGGGGGGCGTGTTGCAAAATTCCTGAAAACCATCCGACTACATCGTTCTCATATCGTCCATATCGTTCACACACCGGTGTTGTTGTGCTTGGCGCTCTGGTGCTCTGGCCGGCGAAGAATCAAATTCTGGAACCCGCACGTGTCAGAGGTATCATACAGAGGATGGTTAAATATGTAGTTGAGGGGCATTCTCCACTTTCAGGCCCACTTCAACCTTGAATATCTTTGCCCTCCTTTTTGTTTTTAAACCGGCCAGCAAGCAGAGAGGTGCGGGAGAGGTGCAGGGAGAGGGAGGGGCCAGGGAACTTGTGTAGACTGGATTTCTGTCAAGTGCGTCTGTACGCCTGCTGTTGCAACGCTTTACCAGCTCCACAATCGATCTGCCGTACGTTAAACACGCCCACTTTTCAACAAACCAATACCTTTGTTTAGGACGCAAGATCTGGAGCCCAGCTTCTGCTGGCGTCATACCTTGGTGGACCACTGTTGTAATCAGCGGACTACGGACGTCGACGCTCTGTCTGTCTCTATGCGCTACCCAGAGTAGTACTGATCCACCGTCTGTCCAGCCTCTGCTGTAACTATTTATAAAGACGGCGTGTTCGTCTTGCATCCCTGTTTTCGGCAGCCGCGCTGGCCGCGCTATAAACGAGCTGCATAAACCGGTTTGTGTGAGTGTGTTTCCGCGTTTGATATTATGGGCTGCGGGGGCTAGGTGCGGAGAGGCCCGGAGGCCAGTTGAGGCGAGTAGAGGCTCAGTAGAGGCGTAGAAGCAACGCGAAAACGAGAGAGGCAGGGATCGCCAGCCGGAGAGAGAGAGATAGAGACCCGCGACCATAAACAGCCAGCAGCTCCCAGCCAGCAGCTCCCAGCAGCGAGCCAGCGCGCCAGCCAGCCAGAGGAGCCAGCCAGCCAGCAGCAGCCTCAGCAGCCGCCAGCACAGCTGGCACAGCGAGCACAGCAAGCAAGAGGTTCTCAAGAAGGGTTCCAAATCCTGAACCTATTTTGTGTACCGAGAATATTCCATAAACTTTATTTTGTCGACAAAGGGGTAAGCACGCCTCCTCCTGACTGATGCACTATCCATACATAAGAAACACACTCGGGGTAATGCACCATCCACGAAGAACATTCCCACAGAACGTTCCTTGCTGTTCTGATAATATGTGGCTGCTCAACGATCTTCAACGCAGACAGTCCCGTAATGCAACCTGTCCGATCGAGTTGTTCTACGTCACTCTGTAGTTAGGCCTGTCCTCCATCGGCCGTTTTGCTTGTATGACGGAGAATAAGAAGGTTGAATTACTTGAAATTAGTATAGAAATAAAGTTTGTGTA